AAGTTCTTTAAAAATATTGAAATTAACAAATCATATACCAAAAAATCAAACAATAACAAAAACGTTATACAAAATATGTACCATTTTGGTCGACCACTTTTTGGCATTTTGCCGCTAGAGGCATTATTCCATTAGTGTAAATCGAAATTTCCTGAACGTGAGCGAGGGAATCATTGTTGTGATACACCAACACACAAATTTCATTGGTGGCTTGCGAGGCATTATTCCCTTTTTTATACAAAAATTTCAAAATACAACGAGTTTCTTCAATATTTTCACTCATTTTTGAATAGCTGTAACTTTTTTTTTTTTTCAATTTTACCCAATTTAATTTGTTTTGGTTAAGCTTAAAATCTCACCTTTCACCTTTGAGCTTAAAATGACACGTGATGTCTTTATCTAAAAGGCCTTTGAATCTATCTAATAAGCAGTCATAAGATTTTCCATTTCTTTGGTTTTCAAAACACCAAATTTTTCTGGAAGCTGCAAACTCAGTTGAAATCCATCCAAAACTTCTCTAGAAAAGCGCGTCTTTAAATCTTCCCCGATTGTATCTAACAGAGGAATGTACACTCTGTAGTTTTTTTCACGCAAAAATTTTCTTGTTTTGCCTGTTTCCGCAGATTCTTGGTTTTTCTTCGCCTACTTTAAGTTCTGCCGCCATTTTCTCCGTTTCTGACTATTGAATGTCTACATACACATAACTCTGCATGTATCTGCATGTGCGGTCGATTGGTCTTTTCTATATACTTTGTTTAGTATAGAATTTTTTTTATACCTTCCGCAACACAACGTACTATATAACCCCTTAATTATATACGTTGTGTAGCGGAAAAATAAAGGAAAATTTTTAGGGGATGTAGCGATGTAGTGATCATATTGAATATGAGATATGTGTTTCGAAAGACCATATTGCGAAGTGAAAAAATACATTTAACCATTCAGAAATAAATAAAAATATCGGAGTTAGTGCGCTTTCCTCAAAATGCGATTTTCTTGAAAATGTGAGCACGATTGCGGTGCAGCAACTCAACTGAAATCATAAAACACAAAAAATTCATTAGTATATAGACGTGTGGAGTCCGTGAACGAAGGGTTTTCCTAAAAAAAATTTTTTGGTAGAAATGA